TCCTATCCCTTTCCCTCCTTACCTACTATGTACTCCTTTTGAGCCTTATTAGCTATAAGAGACACTGTATGTGCATGGTCCTCACTGCTCGATTCTGTGCCTTATTGGTTATTTATCTACATAATGTTCTCTGGCTTGGTGTACCCAGCATTTGACTGTTACTTATTATGGTTGCAGATTCTGAAATTTGTAAGAACTTGTAAAGATACTGAATGAGAAAGTGACAGAACCCAACATGTAAACTGCACTGACATGGGCAATGAGCAATTAAACTTATGCCATTCCACATTCTATAGAGGAAGTAAACTTTTCATCACAGACAGCTCAATGTAAAATCAGAAAAAGGGCTTTACAAATAATAATCCAGACAGGATACATACATGGTCAAAGAAGGCACTGAGGAATTTATTCATGGTGTGGTAAGCCTTTGTGCTCTGTTCAGATGCGGTTGGTGAGTTCTGTAAAAACCGAGAAGGTCCATGGTTCTGAAGATAAGACAAAGACTCTTTAAGGCTCAGTGCAGGCCATAGTGAGATGTTTGCAAAATGTCGATATCTAGGATCATTACTACCTTTGTTAAGTTGTCATGTATCCGGTCAAACTGGTTTCGGACTCTGCCAGAAATAGACATCTGAAAAGTCTGAATATCAGAGTTTGGTTGTAGCCCTCTCTGACTACACATGTTCTCCTACAAATAAGAAAACAGCACTGAAATTAGCGGTAAGCATTTATACTAATATACAGAACGCTTATGAGACACAGAAACCGTTATGATTGCAAACCTATCAGTTCTTAAGTCTACTAGAAAAGACAACCACTTACAATGTTTTATCTTCCTCCACTTCCTTGAAGAGTCACTATCAATACTAAGAGCTCAATCATTTTATGTAATGCAGGAGCTGCTTACAATAAAAGGCAGATTTACCCCCTAAACCTATCTAAAGTACTCACTGGGGTACACGTACTGCTGGTTGAGAACCACTGCCCTACGGCCTGTTCTGTTCTCTTCTATTAGGAATTACAACACACATTCAGTTAACCAATATTGCTCCGCTGTATGCTCAGAGCTATGCTTTTAACTTTTAAGCACAAAACAGATGTTATTTATTTTATACACCTATACTGGTTTAACAGTAACTTATTCATGTGTTGTTAAAGCGGACCTTTACCCAGATCTTTAAAATAACAACAAACACACCTTTAGAAATGTTTAGTAATGACAATCTACAAACTCATACTTCAAGATAATTGCCGGCTTTGTATTCCTTGCATTCCTTATTTCTCTTTTCTTCCCCAGTCTTCCGGCAGTGGCCATGCTAACTAAGGGCAGATTACTAGATCTCCATTTACTTCTTTGAACTCTGGCACATGTGACCATGCACATCGTCTCAGGGGAGGTATTTAAAAAATCACATCATTTTACACCTGACATGTCTATGTTGTTATTAATGATCATATATAGAGGGATGCATTGGTAGAATTAGATTTTTGATTGTAAAGGTCCTCTTTAGGGCCCTGACACAACATCAAGAGTGCATTCCAGTAGCATTTGGCCGAAAGCACTGGAATGCAACCCGGCTGGCTCACTTTGGCTTGGGGCGGGAGGGGGTGTGGCGATGCATTGAACTCAATGGCACTGCAGCCACGCCCCCTGACCGCAGTGCGATTGCCAGCACCCGACCGTGTGGCACACTAGTGCCTGCATTCCAGTCCGGTGCGATCTGCAAAAAATGCTGCAAGCACTATTTTTTGCAGATCGCACTGTACCTGAACAGAGGCACTAGTGTGCCACTCGTTTGGGTGCCAGCGATTGCACCGTGGGTGGGGGGAGGAAGCGTGGCTGCGGTGCCATTGAGTTCAATGCACCGCCACGCCCCCTGGGAATGCACTCTTGATGGTGTGACAGGGCCCTGAAAGTGTAAGCATAGCACAACTTTTTTTTTTAGTTTTGAAAAGAATAAGAAAAGGTTACAATGCATACCATGTTACTTTTTGCTGTTTGTGTACTGCTGGGGAGATATACCTTAACTTCCTGTTTTGAAGATGCTACAGGAAGTTAGAGGACATATCCCAAAAGTGAAGGGAATTTCTATCTTAGAAAGCTGTCACTAGAATATTTATCCCCATTGGAAAAGTTCAGGTCATCTTTTGCCATTAAGACACCTCAAAAATGTTGGATTTTCACTTACATTTTCAGTGATAATGGTTACCAGGACAAATAGAGAGGTCAATCTCTCCAGCAAAGACAAAGATAGCAAAAAAATACATTGACAGAGGGTATAACCCCTTACCACTCTATCTAGAATAAAACAAATTTTGCATTTACATACATTTTATTGCAAAGTTTTACTTTTAGGCTAGGTTCACACCTAGGCGATTGAGCTGGTGTTTTCCGTGCGGTGTTTGCGCGTTCTTGTTTGTGCGCATTTGCTTTGAAAACTGCGTGGTTGTCGCGCGGTTTTCAATGCATAGAGATGTCTGTGGGACCCAAACCGTGCGACAACCGCCCGAAAATAGCTCCTGCCTCTTTTTGCACAACAGGCGATTTCCTGCCTGTTGTGCGTGACAGATTGCAGAGGCGTCAACAGCTTCCATAGACTTGAATGCAAATCTCTGTTTTGTGCGAAATCGCGTCGATAGACCGCCATCACAGCCATCTGATTGACACCTGCCAGCAGCCATCTTTGTGATGGACGTCGACAGAGAGAGGAGGGGACGTTCACCTGGCCGGATGAGGTATGCTGCCGGGTCCCCTCCTCTCTCCTGACACTGTTGAGCTCTCCGGCCATGACAAAGCCCGACTTTTTAGAGGGGGTGACACCAAAATGACTGTCAGTCATTTTGGTGTCACCCCTGCAATGGTGTCACCCGGGTGCGGGCCGCCCACTGAATGGCACATTGGTTTTTTTCTCTCCCAGAGACTCCATTGGAGTACTCCACTGCAGAAGATATTTCAGCCCTGCTCCACAATTTCATACTAAAGAAGTCACTCTTGGGCACCTGGAACACCTCATTATATATTTATTCTACATTACAGAAAATCTATTGTGGAAGGTGACACCAACATTTAGACCAGCGGTCTCAAAGTACCGGCCCGCGGGCCAACTCCGGCCCGCGAGCTGGTACTAAGTGGCCCGTGCATTAACACTGGTACCATATATAGTAGCGGCCCCCCACGCGACTAAAAAATGTGTCCAGTGGCCCCCGACTAAATTGAGTTTGAGACCCCTGATTTAGACAGTATATATTTCACTGCTCGAGTTCCGCCGCTGTTTAGCGCTTACAAAGCATAATTGTTTTGATCTACACAATCCACAGAAGATTTCACTTACTGCTTCTCTCTTTAAATTCATGTTCATCTCCTCCATGTTGGTGTCAGAATGCCCATGGACTGAGCGGCCGTGAATATAGTATCCGTAGCACTTGTGCGACAATATGAACACTGAAATCTGCCAGTGGAAATAAAGTTTAAAGTACAATGTATGGGACCATCTCAGAGACAATTTGTTGAACACAAAACTCCAGCCAAAAATACCAGAATAAATATAAATAGCCCAATAAAAGATAAAACAACATAACCAGCTTTTGCAACAATATTTACGTTCATCCCATTGATTTTCCCTGCAGAACTTTTTTCCGCCACTAGGTGCCCTCAGTCTAATGGCCAGCATAATTTAACATACTTCTTCTGAGCCCAGGATGTTCTGGACTTGCCACAGCCTGTGAATGAACAGTGAAAGGAGAAGCAGCCCAGTGATGAGCTCATCTCTCTGTCACTCTCTCCCCCTATTAGCACACTTCTTGTCAGCACATGAACTGATTGGCTCATTGTATTGCTTCTTCCTCTCACACTCCAGCTCTACTGTACAAGGACTGCAAGAGGCTTATACTAGTCCTGCAAAGGAGTTACTTGCACTAAAAATGCATTTCATAATGTATTGATGATTACAGAGATGTATTAACGGGTTACTTTTATATCTGCCTGGAGTTAAACCTCAATATGGATCATTCTATCACACCAGTGTTTTTATAACAAACTAAATACCTTTTATAAATGACATTTTAAAGCTTCCCAGATGTATAAGCGGAAATTATATATGAATCCTGTGTATAGATAAAGAAATGATATACTCTACTGTGCTTTAGTGGAAAAACCTGACTGGTTGTGGTTTTTTTTTATACTCCCGGATGGTATGCTTTCCGTATATTGCATAGGCGATGGCTAAGAAGCTTGAAATAGATGTATGCAAGTTGCAATTGTAGGCTTTATATGTACTAGTATCGGTGCTGATACATAGTATTTTGGCTCGTACTCGTACTCGCCCAAATGGTCCGATACTTACCTCCGATACCGGAACTTCCGGTCAAAGGGAGATCTCCAAATCCCTGATGGTCAGGAAGCCAGGCTGCCTATGTACAAGTGAAGCCAGCTTCCTAGCCAATCAGGAAGTTGGGAGGTAGGTCACGACGTGTGTAGCCAGATGACACCTCGGCAAGTGACACCAGGCCGCCTCGGCAAGTGAAGCCGATGTTCTTTCGCCAGAACACCGGCTTCACAGACAATCAGAAAGCCGGACGATGGGTCATGATCTGCCGTCGGTAATACTCTATCAATTATCTTATGTTATGTTTGCACAAGGTTAACCAAGTTTACACTGATTGTCAGTATTATATAAATTCTTGTAACATTGACCTTATGAATACGTTCTACAATTTGCTGACCTGTATGTGATGCTGTGTTTATGTAAATGAAAAATGCAATAAAGAATGAAATTATAATAAAAAAATAATAAGTTTTATCTTGTTTCTTCTGAATGAGTTTGCTGCTGATATCACTGCTGCTCCTCCAACAATTGTGACTGCATGTGTTTTAAAGCTATGAACCAATTCTGTGGTACAGCAAAACAATGCTAAACAGGATCAGTAAGGGCTCGTTCACACTGTTAGCACACTGTTAGCAGTGGCTGGCTTTTTTCAGCAACTGATCAATGCCAGTCACCCCCAGTCACTGCTAGGGTACATTGAAAACAATTGTGCCCAGTTTAAACCACAACATGGGTGTAATGTGCAATGTGGAAAAATGTAGACATGCTGCCTTTTTCCACAGAAAACTGGATGGCACCTCACTCAGCACACTAGACCTCATGCTAAAACTCAGCATTTTAGCGTAGACAGATTTACTATACGACTACAGATTGATTCATAAATTCCTCCCTCTGCTGCTCTAAAGTAGCACTCCAATAATATAACAGCTACAGGCACAATAAAACCCCTGAGTATTTTTTTTTTTAAACCACGGTAGAACAAGTATATTCATACAGCCTAAGTTGGCATGTTTAGTGTATGTAGACACCGCAGCCCTGTCTTTATCCAAGGGAAAAGCAATCTCGATCTGCTAAATAGCTCTAAACTGGCTGATGATTGTTCCTGCAAGAAAGATCAACGTGGAGTCTGCTCGTATTCACAGATATAATGATCAGTGTCCAACACAATCCATTGGCCAAATCACGCAACAAGTTTTTTAGATATATTGAAAAACAAAGCAGCGTCAGGGTTACTTACATTACTCATTGAACATAAATCAACAAACTGTCGGATCTTGTCTTCCACAAATCTTTCATAAATTCCAGAGAAAAACAGAATCTGAAAACAGGCAACAAACAAAAATGGAAATTTTAAAGTGGATTTTGTAAAACTCTATAGTAAAAAGCCTTTTGCATCCTCACAATTACCTGTAAACAACCAAACCCAAGCCACAATGCAGAGGCCACGCCATAACGCAGAATACAGCTCCACGGTGCTCTATAATCTTGCGAATCTCTAGAGAGACTGGAAGATGAATCCCGTAATGCCAGGTTTTCAAAACCAACAATCTGAAAAGCAGATAAGCATTATAAAAACCATCAACTCTAATCTCATAATGAAATACAATAACAGAAAAGTCAGTAAGTATCTACAAATGAACCATTTTGTTTAAAGAGGCAAATTACTAAACCCTATTATCATCACTGAAGGCAGAAAGCTTGAATTTGGAGTGTTACCATTCCTTGGATAAGTAACTAAATAGAAAATGCAATTTCAGCTGAACTATGGGCTCATGCGAAACAAAATACCATTCAACGCAGTTGTGTATTCATTTAATAATAAATATATTTTAATTGTAATATCTTCCTTATATTGTAAAGCGCTGCGCAAACTGTTGGCGCTATATAAATCCTGTCTAATAATAATCTGTCTTGCTATCAGCATTTTGTCCTCACTTGACTGGGCAAGGAAGGTACAGCACTGTACAATGCACATGTGCTGACCGGTAACATACAAACACTAGAGGAGAGCAGAGCTGATGACTTATCAGTAAGCTTTTGCTCCTTTATTGTCCAATTGAGAGGCTGCAGTCAGAAGGGTGAAACCACCTAACGGAGAAAGCAGTGTCACTCTCCTGGCAGACAACCCCTCTGTTTGGCAGAGGTGTATGAATAACAGAAGCGCTTGGACATAATTATAAATCCTTTGGCAAATAAGATAAGTTCAAGATAAGATAAGTCTTACGCTTTTGTTTACAATACCTAAAGAAATCTAATGTGTTTCAAAAAAACTTTCAATCTCAATCAGCCAATAAATGATAACGCTTTAATTCCATAAACATTCTAGTTTAAGAGCAGCAAGTTATAAAAAGTCACATTAATCTGTCTATTTCAGTTGAATGCGAATGACAGCAGCTTCTTCTGTCTCTTAGGGGACTCCAGTGTGGAATCTCCCTGCTGCAAGAACACATCATTGCTGACTTCTGCTAGCAGAATTTGGCCACAACACCTGGATGAGGACCTATTTTTGCCCAAGGTCTGGTCTGTGAGCTGGTCTTGCCTGAAATGCTTTGTCATCAAAAAATCTGCTGCCAGAAGTCAATGAAAAAGAACATATAACCTATCATATTAACCTTTAGAAAGAAGAGAACAATGAAAACTTGAAAGAGGGGGTTGATTTTGCGCACTGTCTGAATTTCATTCCACTCATTTGCTATGAAGTAAGATCTCCAGATACTGACGGGTGCAGGGTCACTCTTCGCACCACCTTTAAAAGAAGGGGACAATGAACACATAGTATACTAAAGCCACTTTAGCTAAAGTGATCCAAATGGTCCCAAAACATAGAAAAGTGACACATCAAAGAGAAGGCATCTCCAGGTGCCAGCACACTACATTGGGTCTCCTGCAGAGATCTTTCTAGCTCTGTGAACTTAGAAAGTTGTGTTATTCTATTGTCACAGAAAAGACCAGCTTTCATGATTACAGGCCCTGCCTTGTCCTTCCCACCCAACTATTCTACTGATTCATCCCTATGAATGAAGTCAGACTCACTAACCAGGAGCCTGTGATTGGCCAGTTTTACTAACCATAACAGTGTGACCCAAGATTCTGGAGTCCCCTTGAGCTTGAAAGCAGATCAAAAGCATTCTGCAGCACCCAAAGGTGAATGCTATTTTGCAATGGTGTGGAAGTGTACTGGTGTATTTTACACCGGTCTGGAAGTGTACTGGTGTATTTTGCACTGGTCTGTAAGTGTACTGGTGTATTTTGCACTGGTCTGGAAGTGTACTGGTGTATTTTGCACTGGTCTGGAAGTGTACTGGTGTATTTTGCACTGGTGTTGTGAAGTTAAAACGTAACATAACCCTGTTGTCCCCTTCCTCCATATATGCAAAATATAATGATTGTTTTATCTAGAGGACTAGAGGGATCTAATAAAGAGGAATACTTATCTTTCTCTACAGTCATGCAGCGACCAATGCTCTGGCCTTCTTATATCCAGTTTAGGAATGTGGGCAGGCTCTCATCATTACATACAAAGCAGGACCAGTGGTGGCTGCTGGTCCTCTACATTGCACAGTAGGATGTCGGCGAGAGGGGCAGCAACACAACCGGAGAAGAGGAACAGCTCTAGAGGAGCGGTTCTCAATACCAGAATCGCCTGGGAGATTATGGAGTAAGTATTTCCCTCTATTAGATTCTCTAGATCCTTAGTATCCAACTTGTGGCCTTTCAGAACTTGTGCGGCCCTTGGAGCCCAGCAGTTTGTAGTGGAAGTGGGAGACTAAAGAATTTTAAAGCACGTATGACCAGTAATCACTACTAGCCTCTTACAACATGTTGTCAGTCTCTAAATGATGTCTCCAACCAAACCTATAGCATGTCCACAGGCTCTGACCATCATTTCCAAGTACCTAATGTCTGCAGTCTCTGACATCCCTCTCTAGCATTACATACACTGAATATTATGTGCAACCTTTTGGTAATGTCTGGAGCTGCAGTTGAGTCCCCTTATAGCTCGTACATTGATAACCACTGCCATATACAAAACAACAAGTATAGTATTCTGAATATTCTAAAAGGAAACACATAGATTTCATTTTTTTCTGACTATCAATCCAGACGTGCTGCTAAATATGTTGACCACAATATGATAATGCAACTTCAGCCTAAGGATACCTAATTACTGGCACACAGGGATCATCTCCAAATGTCGCTTTATTGCAACTTGGCATAAAAACTGCAAATATACAGCAGGTTACGCCTTTCAGACCAAACTCTGGGCCTTAGTCATAGCTATGACTAAAAGGAGAAGATTGCTGTTCGTGTGCTGGTAATTAAGTATTGTTGATGTACCTGGTGGAACAGGAGCCTCTGCTGTGCATCAAGGACCTGCAGGCATACACACTGGATAGGAGGCAATTGGGCACGTTTGGAAAAATAACTTTGAATTTCAGCCTAAGGGCCCATATTAGCTTTTTCTGAGTCACTAGTTTAAACACTCAAGTCCCTGAATGGCCACTCTAAGCCTAACATAATAGCTATATTTTATTCTTGAACGAGGAAAGCAGTGATATGAAAAATTACACATAAAAGTATAATCTCACCTTCAGATTTTAAGGTTTTGTTTTTGGGTCTCTCCCAGTCAATGAAGAAAATATCAATGGTCAGCTGAGAGATAAGAGTGTGCAAGAACTGAAGGGCCTAAAAGAGAATTAAGACTATTACCTTCAGGCACAGACTTAAAAAAAATCAGTAGAATCTATATAGACAAATAAATGTCAAGTAAGACCCAGGAACACACTAAATACATAGTATAGGCATAGGCAACCTCGGCACTTCAGCTGTTGTGGAACTACAAGTCCCATGAAGCCTTGCAAAACTGACAGCCACACACTTGAATCTGAGAGCCATAGTTGCCTAAACTTGACCTAGTACAACCTAAAATGCCCCACAATCCTGTTTGGTGCACACTCATGGATGTACCTAGCAGAACTAACTATGTTGTGAAATATATTTATTACCTGTGAATTCCTAGGCTTTGTATTAATAAATCACTTGCAACTGACTCTATTGGCAACCCATGTAGGGAAGCATGGGAATGTTTGCACCCGCTGTGTGCAGACCTCTCAGGTTATGCTGCCACCTACAGGAGGATTAAACACTGGCTAACCAAAAAACTGCAGGCCAGCCCAGGGGGTATAACCCCTCCTACTTCCAGCAGAAATCAGTATAGAGAGCATGATCACAAACACAATGGGGGGAAACCAGTGTCCCTCAATAGACTTTAACAGTAAAGATTTAAGTTCCTCATGGCTCTTTGCAGCGGGAACAGCAGGGGGAAGATGCTTCATCAATGCTGTATGGCTGGAAAGAGAGCAAAACCCCCCACCCAGAATATGACATCAGCACTAAGTTCCACAATGTTGACCCCTTCCATGGCATAGCTGGAGGGAAAAGGAGAACAATAGCACCCAGCGACCAGAAAATAAGAGGGAGCTCCCACTGCTTGATCCAATGGGTCTACTCACTATGTGAGTCTTAAGAGACAGAACAAGCGCAGTGGAAAAGTGCTCCACAGCTAACAGAACCAGAACTGAGACTAGAAAGAGCCACATGGGAAAGCAAGTTCCTGAAGATGACTGCCAGGCTAGCCGTGAAAATTCCAGTCCATCGGGGTCCAAATGCATGATTGAGGACAACTCCGCCATATAGTTGCAAATCGGAGGCAAAACTTGTAGCAGCGGTGCAGAGAAGAGTCTTGGTTGAAGAAAAACGAAAAGAAAAAATTGTTTGTAGTAAGAATGGTTATACTCTAGGTGACATTATACCCGAAGGTTTAAGTCTTCCTGTGTCCCTCAATAGACAATAAAAAAAAAATTGAGCCAACATCAGCAAGAGGACAGTCTGCCTTCGATGATTTTTAGGCAGCACGTTCCTTGGCAGAAACTGAGACTTGGGTAGACACCAATGCTTTCCTGGACTGATTTTCATCATGAAAAAAACACACAAAAAAAACAATACTATTTCAACTCAGACCTGCAGTCTGCCAAGAACATGTCAATAAATGTCCCCACCACCATTGAGAGGCAGCTGCCCACGCTTTACTTCAGCTGCTGGCTCTCTATCTCGTTTATCAGTGATGGTTGGGGTCCCCATTGACAATTGGGAACCATTCAGAGTGGTTTCCAGTTATTTGACTAGTATGACAGCTCTGAAATACTGACTGCATGCAAGCTGAAGGCTCCACTGATGAACAGCATTCATCTGCAGTACTGTCCATTTAATAAAGTAACTGTATGATACAATTTCAATATTAAAAATAATCATTAAAAATAGAAAGAATGTAAAAAAAAATTTTAACACTTTTGCACATTTGTCAGCCTAAAATAAATCGGTGAATAAATTAAAACAGCGTACCAAATCAGAACCTAATGGGACTTTAAAAAAATATATAGAAAAAAATGTAGGTGTGCAATTAGTTACTATTGTTAAGTTAAAGGAGAACTATGAGGTGAGTGATTTTCAATCACCTCATAGTTCTAGCCGACCTGTGACAATGAGACTGTCACAGGTCGGCTCAGTAGATCGGGAGGTGAGCGAACATATACCGGCGTTTGCTCACCTCTCGATCCTGTCACGGCTCTCTGCCGTGACAGGGGAGGGGCTGGATTCCCCGCTCTGATCCGCCAGCGCTGACTGGCGGAACGGACGGGGGAGGGGGCGGGTACAGCTGGCTCTGCCTCTAGATAGGCAGAGCCAGCTGTCACTCACGCAGCTGGGCGGATCCCGGCACAATTGTCGGGATCCGCTTCAGCTGCGGCGTCTCAGTATATAGCGAGCTACAGCTCGCTGTATACTGAGCCTAGGGTGACGGGAGGACGCTAGTTTGTGTCCTCCCGTTACCTAAGGAGAACTATGGGGAAAAGACTTAACCCCATAGTTCTCCTTTAACCAATGCATGCTGTAATTGCTAAATTTGACCTGGGCATCTAAGCTTCAATGACCTCTGGTATCCAAATACAGAGAAATTTCACTGGTCTGTCCAACACCAAGCCTCCAGCATCCGGCCATGCATGATTGCAGGCCGGGAGCTGTCCACGCTCCAGCACAATAGCACAAAAAAAGGAGCCACACACCAGAGTTCACCAACAACAAAAAGTTGTTAATCCACAAAGCAAAGACTATCCATAGTGGGGAGTTTTAATGGACTGGATATTCTTTGCCTTTAAAAACTTATTGTTGGTGGATTCTGGTGTTGAATGACCTCTGGTCATGAAAGGGTTAAGGAAATAAACCATGAATTATATGTTGGGTCAAAGCGCTGTATAAAGATAATGCCATACCTTCAAAACAAATGCACATGATACATAAGTTATAAAGTTTTTTTCATCACTGGGTAGAGGCAGTAGCACAGAGACGTATTGCTGACCCTATGAAACAAAAGAGGATACTGAAATTAAATCAAACTCTCTGATAAAGGAAACGTGTAATTTTTCAAGAGTTAGAAGGCCAGCACTGAATTGGCTCACTCAGAGTTTCAGTACACATAGGAGAGTAATGCAGGAGAAATGTACACCCATCCTACTAGAGTCCCAATGCTTCTCATACAAAACCTAATTGTGAAAGTGTGAAGTGAATGCCTCAACACAAATAGAAACTCTAGCACGACTAACACTCCAGTTTCTGTTAATGGTGTAGGTCAAAAGTCAGGAGTGTCATCAAGGAATCCAATGCCTGGTGACCAGCAATGAGATGGCACATTTCCCTGAATGACATCTGGGACAATCCATGTATCACTGACACATGGCACTTAGGATTGCTGCTGGAGGCTGCCATATTGTTTGTGGATATAAAAACTAAATGATCAGCACAGGAGACATGCCCAGCTCAGCTTGCTCACGTTGTCACCCAGATAAGCAGGCTGCCTTGAAGCTGGTCTTCAGGCACCAGGATCATAACAACTCAGCCTACGTGAACCACTTATATTAATAGGCTGATCAGTCTTCCACCACTAGGGTAAAGAAGATCAGTGAGAGTTATATTTATGTTCACATACTCGCTGCCTCTTCTCTACAATATCTTTAAAATCATTTAACCTGGGGAACCAATTTAAAGGACTTTGTTTGGTTGAGGTCTGGTTCACACCTGTACGTTTTGTAGCGCGTTCAACGCTCTACGAACGCTCTACAAAACGCTCAAACATGAAAATCCCATTGTTTTCTATGGGTATGGTTCACACCTTGCCGTATTTCAGCTCGTCTGAACGCGCTACAAAACGGCCTACGCATGAAAAGGTACATGAGCTTCTTTGCAGCGTTTTTGTCGCGCGTTTCCATTGGGATACAGACAAGTAGCCCTCGGAAATGCACGTTTGTCACGCGTTTTTTTACCGCGAATCGCGGTAAAACCGCGCGTCGCGAAACGTGCGACAAACGCGTATATTCGATACGTCTAGGTGTGAACAGAGCCTGACTCTGGCTGATAAAACACAAATGACAACGGTAGCATGGTCACTGCAGAGATAAATGTGTTACTGGGACTAAACACCAACAGAAAGTTCACACAAAAGTCTTCCTTACTTTGAACAGAAGAAGCCAGTAAACACCAGTTCCCACCGTCACAGCGAAAAATACATTGGCCAGAACTCCAGCATATATAACCAAGAACTGAATCACAGTCTAAAAATAAAGGAAGATAGTGTGTAAATAACAGCTACAATCATTGCTATTAAGGATAATTACATGTCATTTTTTCTTCTACTATAGTATTATGGCCTGCGATAAAATGATGAAATGCTATGTTGTTCTCAATATTTTAAACAGCGTCCATCTCACCTGCAAGTCAATGACCTGGCTACCTATCCTTCTTTTCCAAGCAGCAGTTTGGAGAAGGGACCACAGCACAGCCAGTCCACCGAGCACACCCAACGCCACCTGCGGTACAATGAGAGGGTCATAAGTATGCTGGACACATGACAATAAACACACAGCAAAAGTTGGATAACTTACATCTGTCTGAGTGATGGATTCAGCCTGACTCATTTCATACTGAACAGAAAAAGAAACCTGAAATAGAAAATAAATTACATTTTTGACAAAACATGGAAATATATATTTTTTTTTTAATAAGCCAAAAAATAAAGAGCAAATGTAACCGTGTCCATTACCAAACAGCTAGGCATTGTACACTCCAAACTTTATCTCACACACAAAATGATTCCACTTGACGAGTTCATTAGGGTTGCAACTAATGATTATTTTCATAATCGATTAGTTGGCCTGTTATTTTTTCGATTAATCGATTAATTGGATAAAAAATAAAGAAAGAAAGAAAGAAAGAAATACAATGTTTTATTTAAAATACACAAATAGAGTGTTACAAACAAAGTTTGCTTCAGAACAGAACTGCATGCACAATTTTTTGCAATCGTACTGCATGACAGTGAGTTCCAGTATGGGCGATCGCACTGCTGGCGGGAGGTGCCTTTGGGGTGCTAGGAGAGAACTAGTCGATAATGAGAATAGTTGGTAACTACTCTGATTATCGATTAATCGATTTGTTGGTTTCAGCCGTAGAGTTCATGCAAAGAATTTGTACGGATTGACTAGACCATTACTAATTATGTAAAAATGTATCTTAAAAAAATTTATTTATGTGTATTCACCTTCACATTAAAGCTGCTGAGACCATGCCATTTTACTTACCAGCCACTCCCTGACAAATGGTCGAGGCATAGCCCCTTAAACGCGTTGGCTTTATCTGATTTGACAATGTATGTTAAACCTGTATCTGAACTTCATACTGTCACTCTGCTAGGTCATTCCATCAGACGAGCATACACTATATCAGCAAAAAGGTTTGTGGACAGCTGACCATCACACTTAAAATATATGACCAGAAAATATGAGAACACCTTTCCAAACTGAGTTCAGATGTTTCCAACGAAGGGTACTGCTAGTGCTACAGCACACAAAGCCATTTTAAACAATAATGCATTTCCAAACTTCATGGCAACACTTTGGAGAAGGCATTTTTCAGTTCCCACCTGACAATCCACAAAGACATTTTGAACAGTTTGGTGTGAAGAAATGTATGTGCCCTGCACACAGTCCACTTTTGGGATGCACTGGAATGCGTCTCGCGACCCAAGTCATTTTATCCAACATCACTACTTGACCTCACAAATGCTCTTTTGACTGAATGGGCACAGATTCTGAAAAACACACTCCATCTTGTGGAAAACCTTGTAATTCCATAATAAAGCTCTTGGTTTTTAAATATAATGTCCAACATACAGGTGTAATGGTCAGGCATTCTAAAATTGCCTGGTTGGTTGGTTGTAATGCTGTAGCACCCTTATTCTGACTCACTATGACCCACCCTTTACTGGTGATTCCCAACAAGTTTTGTATTTAGTTTTTCCCTTATCTATTCACTTTTTTCACATCTACTGGTAGTGGTAACCAAGCTAAAAAAAAATCATCATTAGTAAACGTTAGAGTAGTGGAGAAGACAATATGGAAGCTAACTGGTGCTGATTCCACCAAGTATACGACAATTGTGTCCAAAATATTCATTAATTTTCTTTTCAATTGTTTAGTGACTAACACAAGCACGTTCTGATAATTGATCAGTTGCAACTGTAAATTATGAAGTCTGAGAGACATTATTTAAACTATGATCAATAATCTGCAGTATTTTTACACTTACAGCCTGGGCAGTATGTAGCGGTACACTGAGTTAATGTTTAGTTACACACGTGAGGCTCAATTAAAGAATCACTATTGTCAGTATTATTTAACAAAGACGCATACCTTCACAGTCTGGCTTTCTGGATTTTGTACTTGTATATCTGTGTATTCCACAGTCATGAGAGGGGGGTAGACTGTTCCTCTGTGTGTGCCAGGGACCAAGCTGATGCTGTAAGTGATGGCAATATATAAATCAATAAAGCTTATTATTGTTACTTCTTAATAAAACAGAATTTGGGGACAAGCAGAACATTTCAATGTCCAACGCTGCCCAAATGCTACTTGCAACATTCTGGTCAGTGCTTTGGGAAGCCCACTGAACTACTACTGAGCCTACTTTTGCTAGATATAATCTTTCCGACCCATCAGCTTGGGGCATTGGGAGGGTGTCACAAATGCTTGCCAAGTCTATAACATATGTTCTAAAGGTGATTATGTATAAAAAGTATCACATTTCTTTTACCTAAAGGCGATTTTTGAGGCGATTCGAATAACACGAGGTAAGCTGTTTAGAGTATTTTCTCGTCCACTTAGTGTGTCAACCAAGAATATTCGACGGGTCAGCAGCCAGTTGTTAACATTGTTTCCTTTGTCAAAATGTTTAAACAGAAAGACAAATTTAAAAAGCAAAATAAGTGCAAACAGATTCTTTATTATAAAAGGCAAGACATCCTTCCATTTTACACAACACGAAACTTCTGTTAAAAAATAGATATTGAACTTTACTACACTACAAGCCATTTTGTAAGTTAATGTTCCTAAAAAAATACCTTTTTATTTCCACCTGAGGGCTAAAATTAAAACATTGCTCCCTTGGCAACCCTGGGAGCATCCTGTAGACTATCCATGTAAAGAATGCCCCCAGAACCGTCATTTACAAATTATGCGATTGGCTTACTGTCTTTCCCTGTAGTTGTTCTCTTAATACAAAACTAGGACTGATTATGTGCTTATTGTAGCCATACCCTCCCAGTGGGCACTCAGGACATAGACGGTGATTGGGATCCACGTGCCAGTTTAATCTGTTGCAGGTAGAATTCTGAAGTTTGTAAATCCTTGCAATGTACAGGATTTACTTCCAGAGAGTTTTTCTTTCAACAAATGGAGATACACTTTAAAATGTATAAAGGAGACTCAAATCTCTGAACCTCATGACCTATGTCATAGATGTTCGTAAAACCCTCCCACTAACCCTCTAAGTGGCTTACATGCCATCTACGCAGCAGTACAAGGGCCCTCTGGGACATAGGAAAACAGAGACACCGGCACTCCAGGATGCAATGCAACAAACGTCTATTTATTGCATGCAGATATTGCAACAAACGTTTCGGCGTCACAAAGTGTATGCTTTTGCCTGAAGACGGGGATCCTGTGTGACCCCGAAACATTCGTTGCAATAAATAGACGTTTGTTGCATTGCATCCTTGAGTGCCGGTGTCTCTGTTTTTCTTATGCTTGTGACCGCTGCCACCTGTCGACTACCGCTGCACCCGCTTATACATATAAGGGATCCTGCAGTCAGGAGTGCGAAGGGACTATGGTCTCTCTGGGACATAGGGGTCCATTTATACTAAATGAAATATCAGGAGAAGAAAAAAAGAATGAGTAAAAAAACAAACAATTAAAAGATCTTATATAACTCATGAAGAAATGACTTTGAAAGGTTCCTATCATTCATCTCCTTCAGACAATAAGCAAAAATTAAAGTGGTGCCTAGTGCCCAACCTCCCAAAATGGAAAAGCGATGTCCAGAACTGAACAAAGGGATTTTTGTACTGACCATAAAATCCTGTTATCCGAGACTGCTGCCTATAGAATGATTGGACACAGATATAAAAAAGAAACTGTAAGCTAACCCTAGGTATAACCTCCTACTAGCATGCTTCAGTTTAGTAGCAAAGCAGTACCAGGAGTATGATTATACAGATGGATGGGATTTGCAAAGGGGAATAAGGTTTTAGTGCACAGGGACTAATAGAAATTAGAGACCTACAAGTGCTCGGCCTGAACGGCTACTCAGAAGAAAGAGGCTTTCTCCCATTTTTAATTCTATGCAACTATAACTGAACCTATAATAGCAACCTTCTAAACTAAAAATATGAAACAGACAAGAGGTCAGTTATATCTTGAGTGGCAAGTATGTTTTAATTCTGTGCAGCTACTGCAACCATTACAACTTCATGTTCCCCCAATGGATTTTCTATCATGCAGACTGTGGAATTATGCTTTTCCAGGAAAGTGACACTTTCCTCATGATCTTGTGACACAGAGCAGAGCCAACAAGTGTACCCAACCCACCCTAAAAACCAGCAGTGTCAGAACAAAAGTCTGAACCTGACTGGTGGCTCTGGAGGACAGAGAAGGTCTTTCTCAAGACAAATGATAAGTAAGGCCAGTTATGAACAGGCAGATATTTGTAGCAATAATGACTTACCTAAATTGACAAACTGGTCATTGTACTGAAGGTTTAGGTTTAATATTGGCACAGGCCATATGTTCTGCTGGCTGTCACTTCCGCGGTAGGAGAGATACACATCATAAAACACAGGCTCTGGAAAGTCACGGAGGAGCTTGGACACAGGCAGCTCACACTACGCAAGACAAATCAGAGTAACCAACATAAGCAATTGAAACAAAAATGTAATCAGAAAAAATACAAGAACCTATCCATTATCTGCAAACTATGTTTAGTAACTTCAAAGTGCATCTCTTGTGCCCTAAGACTCCCCAGATTCTGGGTTTGCATGAGACACCACATTCCACAATGCAGTGCTGGTTGTCTCAGTGACTGGTGGAGAGGCTCCTCAATTGCATTGCAATGGGGGAATGCCTATGCTCAACTTTTTATAAATTTGACCTGCAGTGCCACAGAGGTAATGTTGGGTATACACGTTAATATTTTCTCTGTTCAACCTGCGGGCTGAATGAAGAAAATATAACAGATTCCTCCATCCATGCTGAACAGCATAGATGGACGTTTCACCCACTGCCCCTAATGTATTCTGACAGCGGCCACCGGCTGATTTGTTCTGCCGAGGTTTATCCAACATGTCCCTTCAGCAGAAGTCGATATAATGATCAACTTCTGCTGAAGGAATAGTGTCATAAGCTAAGCAAATTTTGCCAGATTCCAGTTGAATCACCTGAAATTCACTGTGTGTGTACCCAGCTTCATAGACTTTAACAGAGTAGACCATAGGGCTTCCCAGATAGGGTGGATGGTTTTGGAATCAAGGAATGGTGACTGGAACAATCTACTGTTGTTTAAAGTTGCTGGGTCAAGCGTTCCGATTGTTTGACTTTCGAAGTTGAATCATTGTGCTTGGATACAATTTCATTTAACCCCTCTCTTGTAATATACATACAGGTTTTTTCACACAGCTGGTCGGTGCAAGATATTGTTGCAGTTTTTTTTCTCTACAAAACGTAAGATGTGACAATATACTACAAGAGATTGTCTAGAATAGACACCGTGCATGTAGTGTCCCTTCTACGAAGGGTTAAAGTGCCTGTAAATCCAAAATCCTTCACATATGTTGAGCGACTTGCTTTTATAATGCAGACTTTGATTCTGACAGTAAGTGACTTTTCGTCCTAGCATTACAATGCTCCCATATAGCATGTAGAAGCATCATGGTCACCCCAGTAAGTGTGCTCCTGCTTGAAGTACATGCTAATGTGCAAATGCATATCCAACTAGACTGTCTATGGGATTTATTCATTCATATGCACAATAAATGAATAGAGGTTTTTCCCCCCAAATAAGAGTTTAATGATCCTTTTATTTTGCTTCTTAGGTTAAAGGTTTATGTGACTATGTATCTAAGGTTATAATGGTTTTGGTTCAGGATAGGAAATGCCCTGAACTATGTGTGTGTACAACCCCTAAAAATGACATATTAGTCACTAGTGTTCGTCAAGAAAGGTTTAGCTCAAGATTATGTTTAAACATCTCCAAAACTGGGGTAGAGGTACATTATTACAGCAGTGAAAGCTCAGAAATAATGTGCCACTCGGTTCTTACATTTTGTTCATATGTTGTTCCAAAATCAAATGCAGCATCCAACCGCTTAGAGGTGTCAGAACACAGCTGTAAAAAAAGCAAACCAGCCAGTAGTCAGTAACAGCAGCAAATGCATTATGCAAAACATGACTATCTACTTCAAATGTATGATCTTTTACGCAAAGGAAACCTGATTTACTAAAGGAGTCGAGAACCTTCACACAATACATTATGTGACTATTCACTTCAATTATCCAATGTGAAATGAAGATTCCTGGTTACTTATTTTATCTACACATGACTGGATATTTTTAGTGAATATCCGCATCGTTTATGATGTTCAAATTCTCAACTCCTTCAGTAAATTATCCCAGTCTTCTGTTACCCATACCAGCCAAGTGTTGGAGGTAAGCACCAAGCAACCATTTGGACTTGTACTATGTAACATTTCCTTTCTACTCAATAGCTGTAATATAGAAATGGTTCTGCATACTTAATCAAATGAGATTCTAAAAAACAAACAAGTAAAACAAACGCAAATAGAAAATGTAAATATTGATGGTAAAAAAGAAAAATCAGCAGAACAATTTTCGGTTTGGGGGAAAAGTAGAGGAAGGACTTAAATAGGGTTGCTTAAGGTTAACTAAGGGTTACTAACAGTGTCTGGTGTGCAGCTAAAGCACTGTGGTTAAGGCTTTCAAGGCATATGTCACATGCCCGTGGTTCTTAACTGATAAAGAAAACAGTACTTCCAATTACCTGCAGCAAGCCTCCATGAAGTGACCTCCATGCAATGAACTTCCCCCTCACATCATACAGAGCTGCTAAAAATGCCAGTTTTGTGTCCTGTGCCTGGAACACAATAAAATATCACATCATTTCATTACCAAAATCATACTCATTCATTGCTTTGTGAGAAGGCGCAGCAAAACACAACCATTGTGTAGCAGAGTCTGAGCATGTAATGAGCAAATATGGCTGCCCCCATATACATATAAAATTACAAATTACACATAGAAACAAGATTTTTAAATGTCTTCAAAAACACACATTAAAACAGACCTGAACTCAAAAAGTCAAGATTTGTTATGTTATAGAGAACATCTAGAAGTGTTTATGGTGCCAAAACACTACCCTGAAAATGTTACCTATTGTCTGGAATTCCTCCTGAACAATAACAGTGCAATTGCTAGGATGTGAGGGTGCCTAGGCACTCTTGTGCCTCCAGAATCATAGTTTTACATCTGTAGTGTGAGATCTAAGGCACTGTTGTCTCTGACTGCCAGTCTTAGCAGATCTGGAGTGAGATTTGGTCATGTCACTACCATGCTGCTCACTGTTCTCCTTGCTGGAGGCTCTGACATGAGGAAGAAAAGTCTTGTCTCTGCTAAGATGGCCATGTCTACACAGAGACACAGTTCAGAACAAGGCATGGTACGTTAGTAATGGGGAAAGATCGGGACCTGGGAGACCACAAGCAATACTGGTGACTAGTCGTTTGCCATCTTCCTGCCTTCTTTGGGCACAGCTCCCAGAATTCAGTTACTCTTTAATAAAATTATTTATATCAAGCTGATCTCTTTCATATATATATATGCTAAATAAAAACATCAATAACAAGACTAGGGTTAACTATTTCCTGTACAAACACACACAAGACAGTTTTCTTCCTACTATGATCTGCCATTTTTCACACAGTAGTCAGTGACCAGCAGTGTCAGTTTTGCTTTGCATTCCCCTCATGATCAGTGGAAATGGAACTAAGAACAGAAAATGGAATGAAGACTGAATGCAACTGCAGGATTAATACATGAAATAAGGAATAAAAACAGCAGTCTGCATTTTGGTTCAGTTGTATTCCTGCTTTTATGATGCAGTAAAATTATCTGTGTGCAATAACCCTAAACGCATGTGGGTGCTGTGGAATATGTCTGTGGCATATACATGGATGAAACGGGACAAAAAAAGTACTAAATCTTTCTTATAGAAAAAAAAAAAGCTGCAACATTCCCAGTATTAAATTAGAGGCTTAGGATAATTCTAAATACCTTCAGACTATAGAAATTTTCACCCACCTGCTCACCCCACTTAAAGCTGAAGTTTTCTGGAAAAGGAAAAGCTGTAAGGACTCGGACTGCTAATCCTGGCTGGTCATCATAATAGAGCCAAGGAATATTGGTCCTCCTGTGAGACAAAGCATTCATTGGACAGCTGCAGTGCATAAAACAACGCTTACCATTGAAAAACATATTATAAAAAGGTTCAATATGTAGGAGCCTTGTCAATAGCAGATTGTAGCTGTAATTTCTTTACTGCAAGGTGAAAACCAAATATTTACCTGACCATTTATTTGACCTTTCCTTTCTTATAGGCTATCTATGGTCAAAATGAAAAATAAATATGTATTCTATATTGAAGTTCCATAAGTTCTCTCCCACTCCTAATAACCAGATCCATCTAGAAGTTTGTAAACGTACTTATTGAAGATGCCCATAGGATGTACTTCCTCAATGCACTGACACAATTCCACATAGCCCTGTGAATGTGCACTTCCTTGTGTCACCACCCCAACTAAAGCCGTGTACACACGGTTCTATTTTTTTCCTTTGAAAATGAAAAGAAATTGAACAGACTGCTCCATCAACGCTTATGAGCATTGGTCGAGGAATCTGTGTTTTGTTCTGACAATAGCTGCCAGACAATTGGCTGCTGATTGCCTGCTAGCTCCTTTCTCCTGAGAATTTGCCAACCTGCTTCTTCAATCACCTGATCGAGGGATGCTGGGTGGAAGGGTGCCGACAGCAGCACCCACCCAGTAAATTTTGGTCGGTTCACAAAGACCCGGCCAAAATTCACTGCGTGTATAGACTACTCAAGCTTGACGTCTGAACCACCTCTCGACGTCTGAACTTCCCACAATGTGACATCATCATTGCTTGCTGGAAGCAATGCATGATGGGAAATGTCACATACTGTATGTTGCATCATATCAAACAGCAGGTAAAGTGATACAAAGCACACAAGCTTTGATTGCATTATCAAAACTATAGTATGTATTCCTATTACAGTGCTTATGTTAGGATAGTATATGCCTTAAGATAGTATATGCCTTAACAGAAACTTAGAAGACATATAAGGCCATATGGCATGCTGTCTGTACAATGCAGGCCGAGGCTAGCGTGATGTACTAATATAAAAGGGAATCTGGGAAAGTCTCTTCTGCCATAAAAGCATGTTGCTGTCTGTCAGCAATTTTTTTCCCTCAGTGCACAGCCTCAGCATGCCGAGATAAATAATTCCTGTGTGCATGCCCAGGAGTTATGTCTCAGCTGCCCAGCCAATCAAAGGGCTGAAGAATTAGAACCCAGAAGAAGGCAGGGGACAAGATGAAAGCACCGGCACAGGTGGAGTGCAGCGCTGAAGGGGATCAGTTTGGCTCCATAAAAAATATATCACTTTACTTCTGCTTTGATGGTACAATGACACTTTAACATCACACTAATTAAGACTTTTGAAACATATTTGGTTACTTATTAACTGGTGATCATTAATATCATATTTTTTATGTGACTGTTTTCTGCTTGGCTTAAATCAAACCAGAAATGAGAGAACTGCCATTGCTGATCTTCTTCTAAGGCCAGGCGCCTGGCTGTCTTTGTCTCCAGTACTTTCTCAGTTAGGGACCTGGAACAATGATTGATTAGACAATCAGAGCAGGGTCAGAGCTCCTGATCTACATACTTGTTCCAGGTAAGTGATACAGAAAGCACTGAAGCACAGGATCTCTGTGACAACCAGGCTAATAACATTTTCTGCAGGAGAGGTCAGCAATGGCAGCAAGCATTTTCTTTCATTACAGGTTTGCTTTAATTCTGGCTGCCAGTGGATCTTTAACAGGGACAAATAGGAAGACTGGAATAAATAATACATTAATAAAGACATCTAGAAAAAAAAAAACATTTGGAACTTGTAACCTTGTTCAAGACATTATAATTACCGTAATATATTATATACAGGCATTACATACAGTATATGAGTAATATACTGACCAGTAAGAGATGGAATGGACCACTCCCCGTGCAACTGTGTTAGTGAATATGTACCGGAACAGACCACAGGCATCAGCGCTCTGCAGACTCACAGAGTTCATATTCATTACACACATGTTCCCCAGAGCCTGGCATGCTGTATGGTTGGAGTACAGCTGTGGAACAAAAAGGTCACATGACTCAGAAATAGAACATATGAACATGTGTGAACAGTCATTTTTCTCATGTATACCTATAAGAAGACGGCAGTAATCAGTGATATATGGCTCGTGTGATGTGTGTTTGGTATCAGATGCATGTAAACACACATAAATGCGCGTCACTTAACTCATCTGGAAGCATAAACACAGCATCTAGCCTGACAAAGTTTTCTCTGCATATAGAGGAAAAAAACACAAGTGGCAAGTTTGCATGAAACCTAAGTGTTTCAGGTGATGTTTTTGGCTCCTTTACTTTCTCTGGCATTAGCCTTAAATCTTTTTCTAAAAATACAATCACATCAATCGAATTAAAGCATGAGATAAACATACCGAACAAGCTGCAGCTGCTGCCTGCAAATGAATGGAAAGCCATTCTGATCTCAAAACACCCTGGAACAGTAACAGAAAAAAACAGTGAGACATTCCTAGTATATGTCATCTTCATGATTTGTTCTGCAAACGATAACAGGCTTACCAGTTGTGCATAACGGATGGTCGAAATAACTCTGGACAGGATATGGCCTGCTGCATTGAAACATATACCTCCAGCCTGAGGAATGAAGATAAAAGTAATATGTGATTTATTTCAAGCCGGTCACCAACCAGACATAAAACCTACCCATTACGTCAACTTTGCTCACACAGGGCTTGGCGAACAAATTGCCTGGGAGCTAAGTGGCGTAAAAAATTTGGATTTGAACTGTTTGGGATATATTGAGTGCTTGATTTTTTGAATACTTGTTGTCTCCTATTAAATAAACATATCATTAAATGTATTTCAAATACTGCTAGCGCTATAGCCCAGGATTGTATCTTTGTATAAGTATAATGGCTGTTCACAGCTACAGTCAATTTATAGTGAGCATATACAGCATGTATTATAACTGGGTACTTATCTGTATGCCTACGCTCCTACTTTAGCTTTTCATAATTCTTCACACGCAAGAAATTAAGCTGAGAGTGCGAGTTCTCAAACTTATGGCCAACAAGGCACTTTTGTCAAGTGTGGTCACCCTTACATATCTTAGCAGAATAGAGTTTTCAACCTCCTATAGGGATCTATACCCCCTCAGTCATGTCACGCTGTATACCCCAATGAACCGTAGGAGAAATTAATAGCTTTAAGAGAAAATTTCTAAAGTCATGAATGTTACATTCACCAAACATTTTGTGGTAGTTGAAAATTTACCAGACATGAAAACACATTCACCAGGAAGATGCACCTGTAGTGAATGTTTAGTTTTCTCATTTGTATTGAGTTTGTATTGAGTTTGTAGTCCATCAGGAGGGAGTTTGGAGCGTCGACTACTTTAGAACACACACAGGGACCATGGGGAACAAAAGTAGCCCCCCTCCAGAAGGAAGGACAGTGGCAGCAACAATTTGGAGATGATTTGAGGATCTACAGCCGAGTGCATCTGTAGTACATAATATTATCAAAAGTTTACGACAATCTGGAGAAATCTCTGTGCGCAAGGGACAAGGCTAAAATGCAACATTGGATTGATCTTCGGGCCCTCAGACAGCACTGCATTAAAAACAGGCATGATTCTGTGATGGACATCACTGCATGGGTTCAGGAATACTTCCAAAAATCACTGTCTGTGAACACAGACGCCGTGCCATCCAGAAATGCAAGTTTAAGCTTTATCATGCAAAGAAGAAGCTACTGTATATCTGAACATGATCCAGAAACGCCGCCATCTTCTCTGGGTCAAAGCTCATTCAAAATGGTCTGTTTTAAAGTGAAAAACTGTACTGTGGTCAGATGAATCAAAATTTGACATTCTTTTTGGCAACCATGGGTGCCGCGTCCTCTGTACTAAAGAGGAGAGGGACCTTCCGGCTTGTTATCAGCTCTCAGTTCAAAAGCTTACATCTCTGATGGTATGGGGGTGCATTATTGCATGTGCAATGGGCAGCTTGCACATCTGGAAAGGTACCATCAATGCTGAAAGATATATCCAGGTTTTAGAGCTGTATATGCTCCCATCCAGACTATATCTTATGCAGGGAAGGCCTGTTATATTTCAGCAGGACAATGCTAAACCACATACTGCATCTATGACAACAGCATGGCTTCATAGTAGAAGAGTCCATGTTCTTAACTGGCCTGCCTGCAGTCCAGAAAATATTTGGTGCATCTTGAAATGAAAAATACGACAAAGAAGACTCGGGACCATTCAGTAGTTAGAATCCTATATCAGGCAAGAATGGGACAACATTCCTCTCACAAAACTCCAGCAACTGGTCTCCTCAGTTCCCAGATGTTTACAGAGTGTTGGTAAAAGAAGAGCTGATGCTACACCGATGTAATCATGGTCCTGTCCCAACTTTTTTGAGACATGTTGCTGCCATCAAGTTCAAAATTACCTTTTTTTTTCTTAAAATGGAACATTTTCTAAGTTTAAACATTTGATATGTTTTCTATTTACTATTGTGAATAAAATATGAGTTTATGGGATTTGCAAATCTTTATATTCTGTTTTATGTAGATTTTACACAGCGTCCCCACTTTTTGGGAATTGGGGTTGTATTACTTAAGCAGAAACTCTACAAATTCTAGATATGTCCCGTGTCCTTACCAAGGTATTTGGCTGGTAGCAGCTGCATGAGTTTGTCCGACTGATAACTGTCTGATGGCATCTTTCACACCTAGGACATGATAAACAAGAGTCTAGGATGAATGTATCTGCAGTGAAAGATTAAGGCCTTGTTCACACCAAATGCAGAGCAGATCTGCATGAGTTTCTGCACACGCAATGCAGTCGCGTTTTTGCCGCGTTTTTGCTGCATTCCAGGCCGTTTTTTTTTGGTTTTTTTAAACACATTATTTTTGTTTCTGTTTAAAATGGGCTTTCAGTGCGTTCCAGGCGTTTGCATGCGTTTTGGTGCGTTTGCATGCGTTCCAGAGCAGGTAAAATAGGGCCTGCTGCAGTTTTTTTACCTGCTCTGGAACTGAACGCTGCGATGTGAACTGGAGCTAAAAATACAATCGGAATACATTGGACGCAGTTTTGCTCCGGTCTGTAACTGCTCTGCTCTGCACCTACTCCGCGCTTGGTGTGAACAAGGCCTAAGATGGAAATGAGTGCAGAATTCACATACCTTAGTCCTAGCTTGTCAGGAGCTGTAAATGACGACTCGGACCCATCACAGTCAATGCATTCAGCTTCATGAAGTAATGTGCCATTCACATACCTTTCAACTAAATGGAACAATTGTAAAGAGCAAAACTTAAAGCAAAGCAATAAGCTAGTAATGCTATCCAGAAAACATTGCGCTGAACTATACAGAGATCAAAGAGTTCATTCAATTCCACCTACTCTAGGTTTTCTGTAATCTCCAGCTATTCTATGGCAATCTGCTGTGTACCCTCCTCTGTCTCGCTCTGATTTCTATATCACAATCAAGCTTACATACCCTGTTTCCCCGAAAATAAGACCTACCCCGAAAATAAGACCTAGTACTATTTTTGGGAATTGCTAAAATATAAGACCTACCCCGAAAATAAGACCTAGTTGTGACCGATCCGTGGGCCGGTGGTGGCAAAAGGGGGAATTTGAAGAGCCGCGGGAGAGAATCAGTGGTGCCAACAAAGCCAGCGCTAGAGGAAGCGAGGCGGCAGCGGAGGGAGCAAAGCCGCATAACGCGATGCTTCCCCTATAGCGCCGTCTCCTGTCACAGGCGGAGTGATACCAAATGCACTCCGCCTGTGAGTAATCAATAGTGAAAGCGTGCTTCACTCATTCTGGCCAGCGATGGTTAACAAATTGCTCTTGGAAAGGTACGACACACCTGATTGCCCTGATCACCATATTCTTAACTTTGACACTCACTCCTGTCTTGTAAATCTTCTACCGGTAATAAGTGTGGATTGTTGTACATTTAAAAAAAATAAGACCTACCCCAAAAATAAGACCTAGTGCGTTATTTTGAGCCAAAAAAATATAAGACAGTGTCTTATTTTCGGGAAAACACGGTAGTAGGCTTGCAGAAACATCTTAAAGTTTATTTCTTTTACAACAGACTTTCTTTATGGGAGAGACAACAGGAAGCCTGCAGGGTTTTGTTCTGGAACCATTCTGCAGCTTTGCAAACAGGAGTTCCCAGATCACCTGATTATCAAAAAAGGGAATCCATGGACTGGTGATTTACAGCAACCCCTTGATCGGAAACAAAAATATTAAACATGCAGGCTGGGCTCTGTATCTGTACCTTAAAAGAGGACTATGGCCTAACCTTTTTTGGCCATAGTTCTCTTCATGGTGTGAGATTTAGCTTCCAATGGTAGCGCATTAAGGACGCATCCACTCGCTTATGACTTCTTTTAAGGGTTCCTTGCCCACTTTTATTGAATCCAACTCAAAAGACAACACAGGTTTACCCTCGCAGGGGTTTCAAACACAAAGTACAGTTTTCTTTCTTCAGCAAAATAGCACTTTCAAAGTCCCCCGACTTTAGGTTGCATGTTTACCAAACACTCTTCACCACACAGGTGACACACTCCTCAGTCCGCCAGCCACAGACTGGTCCCAGGGTGGAGCCCTCCTGACTCCTGCAGAGACCTCCTCTGTCACCCAGGTAGAGCCTTGAACCTGACCCAGCATCCTCCTCATAAGCACTGTGCACAGGTGCACCATCATTTGGTGCTGGTCACCACTAAAGCCCGGGCCCAGGAATGGAGATTTCTTCCCTCCCAGTTCGCTTTGAAATCTCCCGGCTCCAGGATCCCAACTATAATCCAGAAAACCCGGAATGAGTTATAAAACCAGCTCTTTCCTAGTAACAGTACTTTCCTGGAGCCGCTCAGCCCCTCTGGCTGAGAGTCCTGGGTGACCCTTTTTCCACTCTACATAGTGGCATTGCCACACACTGCCACAATGGTCACAGGAAGACATATACTAATGTCCTCTAGTGACCCAAAAGTCAGTACCGCTATATGCTGAGAGTGCAGAGCTGCACCACAGCCAGGACGGATCCCCACAATGCTGTTGAGATCCACCCCGCTGGCTGATTGACAGCTGGCTCTTCCTCTCTAGTCAGGGCTGGAGAAATCGGGAGGGGAGTGGGGCAATCCGGTGGAGAGCGGTGACTTACAGTCACCGCTCTTTGCAGGGAGAGGATCGGGAAGTCAGCGATCTGCGTTGTGTGTGTGTTTGCGGACTTCCCGATCAATAGAGCTGACATGCGACAGCTTCAGTGTCACAGGTCGGCTTGAATTATTGGTATGAGTGTTTTTCACTCGCCCCATAATTCTCCTTTAAGCTTAATTTTTACCAGAGGGTACAGTACCAATACTTAATAACAATAGCAGTTGGACAAATGTCTGTTAATTATAGCCCTTTCATACTACAGAAATCTGTTAAGTAAAACTCTCTTTCTAAATTGTCTGTGTAAATCGTCAGTACACAGGAACTAATATTCCAGTTTCAAATAGAGGATTGCTGAGGACTGCATCCATCTGCCATGGCCATTACAAGGGGTCTTACACTATTACATTTTATTAATTCTATGTTATGGAGGCTATGTTATGAAGGACTCCAAACCAAAACAACATCACATCAGAGTCCCTTTTATATTAGGAGCCTTCTCCTTTCACGTTAAAAGACCCCCCTTCACACCAAAAGCCCCCCTTCACATCAGAGTTCCCCCTACACATTGCTCCACTTTGAAAAGGCATGACATTGTGCAAACATTTCAACACACCCCTCAGGGAGCTAGATGGCACCCTGGTTGAGAATAGTTAATAGTTGTGTCAAGTTTACAATTGTTTCTGACTGTTGCCAACTGTGATGAAAAAAAATCGAAGGGGGAGTATTTAATTTTTTCCTCTAACTCTATTCTAACAGTGAATATGGTTTTCGTTCAAGAAACTCCATTCATTTCCAAAATAGAACTATCTTCAGAACAAAAATCACTTCTACTGTCGTGGTAAACAACCTGCTTCCCTATTTATAATGGTCTGGCCCTCTAGCAACTTCAGCGCCAAATTATAGCTAATTTGCCTACAAACGTCATAAGGTGGTCATAATAATCTGGCCACTCAGTGTATATGCGTCAAGCCTCTGGATAATGGGGTATGTATATGTTGGCTATGCTGTCATTGCAAGATAATCATACAAATGTCTTTATAAAAGTGTTTTATACTAACTTCTCATCATGAAATATTACAGATTAAGCTCACCCAGTATACTCCCCGGAGAACACTGGCACGTGCCACTTGCAGTTAACCCACCAGGGCATTTAATGCAATCCCAGCCATCAGTGGTTACACCCTAAAATAATATGTAGATATAGTACACGTGGGTTATATAATACTTAAAGAGGAACTTTACCCATATCTTTGACATGACATCAAATATACCTTTAGAAATGTTTAGTAATGACAATCTACAAACATATACTTCTAGATAATTGCAGGCTTTGTATTCTTTGCATACCTTATTTTTCTTTTCCTCTCCATTCTTCTCACAGTGGCCATTTTTGCTTAGGGCAGGTTACTAGCTCTCCCTTTACTTCCTGGAACTCTGGCCCATGTGACTTGGACATGTGACCATGCACATCATCTCAGGGGAGGAAAATGCCTTTCCATGAGACGTCATGAGATTACAGATGAGATCTCCCAGCAATGTTCTGCTGATGTAACCTTCCCAGGATGCAACGCTTGGGCACATTACATCACTAATGCCCAAGAGGACGAGAAAGTGGAAAAACTGTAATTTTAAGTAAATATCATTTGTTTGTTGGACTAATGAATGTAAGATGATTTCTGATCAGCTGAAAAGCTGTATGCTCATGTGATTTTTAGTGAAAGGGGGTAGAGGTCCACTTTAATGTTCTTCATGATCCTATTTTTTGTAAAAGTAACAAATAGTTTTTTGTTTTTACATTTTGGGGCAGGGTGGTGGAATATATTTGATTCCCTTTCAGGAGTCTTCAGATGTTCCTAATTTAAGTTTGGTGTACAGTTAGATTTTCCTTGGAAAAATAGGATTTTGTACTCACCGTAAAATCCTTTTCTCTCCGTTCATTGAAGGACACAGGCAACAGATCGTAGATCCTGAATGGTAGGGTAATATCGCCACCTGCAGGAGAAGGACGCTAGGCACAAAACTAAAGACCAATTACAGCCTAGGGGCGGCCCCTGCCGGTGGCC